ACAAGTATGTGAATCATCAGTTGTTGGGCCCCACTCTGAGAGATTGATTTAGTTGGTGTGCTCTCAGTAGGCTCTGGAACTTACCTTACAGCAGGTTCCAGGGTGATTCTGATACTGTTCCTCCCCAGGCACCACTTGAACAACCATTGATGTAGATTAAAGTAATGAAAGTCCTCCTTCTCTGTGTGATTAGCATATGGCAGGCCCTGTACTAAGCACTGTACTTAAGTGGAATAGTGGACAGCTCTGCTCAGATACCTTTGCTATGCTTACATTCCAGTGTGGTGTATACTCCTGTTGCTTTGTGTGGATGAGGGAATGGAGTCATGGGTTAGGTGATTAGATTAACACACACAGGACGAAGGTGGTCTGAATTCCTCCCTTTCTGATACCCAGATCGTCTTTAGGCAAGGTCCCATGTATTTAATTTTTGTTGTCTTTCTACACTGCAGAAGTATTTGTTTTAATGTTGTTTTAGTTAGAAGAAAAGTTACACGGGAAGTTGACCTGTCCAGGTTGAGGTAGGGGTTGTCCAGACCCCTGCCTCCTATTCAGGGGCTCTCTCTGAGCATAGTTAATAAAACCTAGAAGGTTAAAGTCCTGTGTTCTTAGACTTCTGTTCAGGAAGCTTTTTTTTAGTATTGTCATGGTCACTTCCAAAGATTCTGAGCAGACTGTGGTCCTTTGTGGATACCAGAAGCTTTTACCAGGAGGCTGAGGAGGCAAACAGGCATTGTGCCTCCTGTTTCCCTTAAAAGAGTGAGGATTTTAGGTACCTAAACCCTTCCCATTGCATCTTGTTGCCTTTTAATTTTTGCTCCTGTTGACACCATTTTAAGCCCTTGCCCTTCCAGCTGAGGTTCTGGAAAACTAGCTTTCTGGTCTTCTCTCTGGTGACCTTAGACTCGGGAGGAGGCGCTGTCAGGATTGACTGAAAGCAGAGGAGAGGTCACCCGTGTCGTCGCTGCCCTGGAACAACTGGTGCTGATGGCTCCCCTGGCGAAGGAGCCCATTTTCCAACCTCGGAAGGTTAGTGTGACCCTGTTACAGACTGAGTAGCTGGCATTCCTCAGGTGATGCTGTTGAGCAGCAGGCAATGTTGGGAGACTTGAACTTTTTTTTTTTTTTTTAATTGTGATTTGGGTGAAAGTTAGAGGACAAATTCGTTTTCCACCCAGCAGTTCATACACATTTAGTTTCATGATACTGACTGCAATCAAGACATGAACTTTGAAGGTGGAGGGGGCTTTCCTGCCTGCTTAGTAGTTCTTTCCCCAGGAACGTTAAATTAGTGAATGTGACAGCTGAGATAAACATGGAGAGAGCTTGGTCCCAGTGTCTACTTTTGCCACATTGCTTCCTGAACGCAGGACGTCTATTATCTGTTGACCTAGAGTTTGTTCCAGCAGGGCATGCTAGAGTATCTGTCTGCCTTTGATGAAGAAACCATGGAAATTTGTTCTCTGGATTCTTCTCGTCCTCTTGCTCTCTCTCTGGTCGAGGAAGAGGAGGCAGCATCTGAACTGGAGCCTGAGGGTTTGTCAGAGGCCTGTGATGAGTCAGAGCTAGCAGATGACAGTCTTGGGGAAGGGACCATTTGTACTGAGTCCAGCCAGCAGGAACGCATCACCAAGCCAGGCTTCACACACCTAAGCAGCTCTCCTTGCTACTACTTTTACCAAGGTGAGGATTCCCCTGTATAAGGGCTGGGTCGCCATGGAGATGCTTCTGCGAGTTGACCTGGCTCTTGAAGCAGAAGGAAGCATCTCCTTGTAGATCCCAGAGACTGAATGTGTTGTACTTCTTGGAGTGGGGCGGGAGAGGCAGGCCTAGCTGTAAGGAGGGACCCTGGCCTGAGTGCTGGCCAAGGCTGTTGTGTGACAGAACTGTTTGTCTTCAGCGGAGGATGGGCAGCACATGTTCCTGCACCCTGTGAATGTGCGCTGCCTGGTGCGGGAGTACGGCAGCCTGGAGCAGAGCCCCGAGAAGATCTCGGCCACCGTGGTGGAGATCGTCGGGTACTCCATGTCTGAGGTAGGCGTCCCCGAGGAGCGGGAGGGTGGTGGGTGGCACTTAGTCTCATAGGCCAAGGCAACCTAAATCCACAGACCTTCAGTTTGGTATTTGTTAAATGCATTTTTATCAGTGCTGTTGCCCACGACCTTTTAAGATAGATAGACATTGCTCCCTTACCTGCCAGGGCCCTCCCTGGGCTTGTTAAATCGGTGACACTGCTCTTTGCTTCTCAGGCTCGTTGTCGCTTGGGAAGATAGATCTCTCCTGTTTCTCTGAAGATATTCAAGATAGAGTTTTTGTTTCTTTCTCATTACTTGGAAGAAGTGCCTAAAAAATGCGGTGGAGTGCTCTTTATTGTGTCATCATAAAACTTTAATTAGGCTATGCAGGCTTCAAGTACATCTTTCACTCAGCAAATAAATTACTGTCTAGTACTTACATATGTGAACTTTTAGCCTTGGGAATTGTCCCTTTATCCATCACAAATGTGCTGTAAGCCTCAAAATTAGAAATTCTTTGAGGAGGATAAATTTTCCACTAAAACATACATAGGAAAAAGAACAGAACTAAAAAACAAACTGATGTGCCTCATGTTTTTTTTTTTTACCCTCATGAACCAAGCGTCATTCAGTAGGGAAATTGGCTTTATCGTCTCCCAGTTACCATTAGTACTGACCTTGGTTCCCAGCTATTTTGCCAACAAATACTCTTACGTTTTCTGTTCTCCTCCCTCAACAGTGTACCTCAGAAAACCAGAAGCAACTAATTAGCTTTAGATCATTTGTTGCCAGGCTCAGTTCACTCATTGGTAGCACAGACCTAAGATCTGGTTGTGGTTGCTGATTCTGTCCTCTTGTAAGTTATTTAACAATTTCTGTTTATCTTTTCAAAAACGGTGGTAACTTGAGTACTACTATTTAGAGCCCCAGTGCTGACTGCGAGTGTATACTGTTGGGTCTCTGGGTTGGAAATCTCTGCTCTCAAGAGGTTGGCCTGGTCTCATTTGTGTGTATTGGTCCTTTTTCCAACTAGGATGTCCGGCAGCGTCATAGATATCTCTCTCACTTGCCTCTTACCTGTGAGTTCAGCATCTGTGAACTGGCTCTGCAGCCTCCTGTAGTCTCTAAAGAAACCCTAGAGATGTTCTCAGGTAAGCTGAGAGAGGGGTTCAGGGATTGTTTTTCTTTTTTTTAATTTTTATTGTGATTCGGGTGAAAGTTTACAGAGCAAATTCACTTTCCATACAGCAGCTCACATACACTTTGTCTCATGACATTGACTGTAATTTCCCACAGTGCAACAGCTCCCCTCTCCCTTCCTTCCCATAGTTACCTCTTCCCTGTGTCCATCCCTCCATGCCCTCCTGCCCCTTGAACTGTCTCCGTGTGCATACACAGCCCTTCTTTCTCCCATGACTGATCCCTCCAAGGAGTGTATCTACCTAATGTTCAGCTCATATGCCTATCTTTTGTTTGGCTGGAAGCCACAAGAGTGAGTTCAATTCCCGACCTGAAGGGCAGCTAGGAGCCATAGTCTTAGTGGTTCTGTCAGGCTCTATCAGACCAGCAAACCTGGTCTTTTTTTTTTTTTTGGAGAGTAGGGTTCAGGAATACTTGTGGCTAGAAACCCAGTGTGGGAGGAAACGTAAGGTGCTATATCGTTAGTCTCAGAACTTGCTGACACACTATCCATTCAGCCCGTCCACCTGGGCCCACTGGGTGTGCGCTTAGCTCTGAGTTAATCAGGAGGAGTTCGTGCTTGCATTGTCTTGAGCCTGTGTCCTCACGGTCTGATCAACCCACAGATGACATTGAGAAGAGGAAGCGTCAGCGCCAGAAGAAGGCTCGGGAGGAACGCCGCCGAGAGCGCAGGATTGAGATGGAGGAAAACAAGAAACAGGGCAGGTGTAAGTCCGGGAAGCCTCACCTTCGACCAGCACTGTGTGCCTCACTGTGTGTAGGCTCAGTGCCAGGGCCCAGGAGCCAGACTGCTTGGGTTCACATCCCAGTTCTACCATTTGCTTGCTTCGGTTCCCAGATGTGAATCATGAAAGTACCACCTCCAAAGCCTTGTTGTTTTAAGTAAATAAGTTATTATGGGTCAAGTGCATAGCACGAAGTAAGAGTTAAGATTGAATTCAGCCTTGGTGTGGTGGGTAAAAAATCTGTTCTGAGGATGGGAACTGGAGATCTGCTGAGAATTCAGGGGGTGATTCTTCGAAATGTGATATTCTTCGATAGGAGTGTGATTTAATAGTGACCATGACAAACTAGCAAGTACACTAAGGGGGTTTTACTAGTAAGCACAGTATCTTTTCATCTGGGGCTCCCACACGAATGGCAGTGAACCCAGGGAGTAAGTGAGGCCTGAAGGCCTAGTCATCCACTGAACAGCAAGCATGTTGCTTGCTTGGAATCCGTCCTTGGCTAGGGAAAGAAGTGAACTGTTCTAACTCCATATGATAAGACATAGTGCTTTTTCCTAAACATTATACAGGTAGATCCCCTGGGACCCAATACTGTGAAGCTGTTTGGCATATGTCCTAAACTTTGAGAAAACTGATGTTTCAGGGACAAGATTTTTTTTTGTTAATGTTTTATTACAGGAATATTAAAAAATAAGTAGAGGGAACAGTGTATTTCTCATTTATTACCTGCCTTCAATTATGAATAGAGCAGGGTTTTTGTATTAAAACAAAGATATATTGTAGAATGACAGTACAGATTTGGGTTTTCAGACTTCTTTTTGCATCTTCCAGGCCCTGGGGCTAGGCATATTGACTGTCTTCAACTGTTAGAAAAGATCTGAATGACCCTACTTGTCTCGTGTTTCCTTTGCAGACCCAGAAGTCCACATTCCCCTTGAGAATCTACAGCAGTTTCCTGCCTTCGATTCCTATACTAGCTCCTCCGATTCTGCTTTGGGTCCCAGCAGCACCGAGGCCCATGGATCCCTCTCCCTTTCTTCTCTCAGCAGAAGTCCTGTGTCCCATGCAGGTAAGTAAATAAAGTTGGGATTTGAAGAATGCAGCCAAGCCACCAGCCCCAGACCTTAAGCCAAGCACTAGTGTCTGAATATACAACCCTGTGGAACAGTGTGGTGGTTAGGTGAATAACCTTACCTTTGGGTAGTTGCTATATTCCTGAGGTGTACATCAAAATCTTGCCAGTTGGATCACCTTTCCCATTGGCTATTCTGTGCTCTGCCAGCTTCCAAAAATCTCAAGGATCGCTAAACCAAGCTCAACTGTAGATCTTCCCTCTGAGCCAGCTATTTTATTCTAGTTTTTACCTTTGCAGTACTCTCATGTATGCTTGGATCTCTTTGCATGTGTCCTGTTACAGCATCGCTTGTCATAACAAAAATAGGGAAACACTTAACAAAGCTTGCCAGTAGGTAAACGGCTAAATTACAGTGTTTGAAATACATCACACCCATTGGAGAATGAAACAGCTCCATTTTTGAATGGATAGACTTTTAAGAGAAGAGGAGGTTGTAGAACAAGACAACATACTATTTGTGGGTTAAAAAAAATTCACAAAATAAAATATTTTTAAGTGGGTTTATATATATATATACATGCCTAAAAGGTATAGGAAAATATTGGGATGGGAATGATCCAAGCTGGGTAACTAGGTTCCATTTGAGGATGTAGAGTCAGGATCCAGAGGTGGTTCAAAGGAGCTTTTAGCCTTCTCTATGCTCTTTTCACAGAGAAAGAATGTATTCATGTTTTAATGAAATTAAACACTGAAAATTAAAAACCACCAAACCCAATGCCATTGAGTCGGTTCTGACTCTTCGTGACCCCCATTGGGTTTCCAAGGCAATAAATCTTTATGGAAGTAGAAAGCCCCATTGGCAGCTGGTGGATTTGAACTGCCAACCTTCTGGTTAGCAGTCAGATGCCTTAGGCATTGTGCCACCAGAGCTCTTTAAACACTTATAATAGTGACTATAATTTCAGAGCTGTCGTTTCTGATCTTCATCGATCTGGAGAATGGATACTTTTTGATACTTGGGAGATTTATTTCTCTGGCAATTTTACCAAATATCCAAAGCCAGCGTATTTAAACCTCTTGGCGACCTTTCTGATCATATGCCTATCACTGTGCAGACTAGGAACTTGCAATGAAGGCAGTGGTCTTAGTAGCAGAGACTGGAACTAGAACCTGGGTCTCATGAGGCCTGCCGACCATGATGCTCTTCTCCTTAGAAGGAATATGGCCAGTCATCGGATACATGCTTTGTGGTATAGAGATGTTTTTACATACTAGCTTTTCTGATAATTGAGGTATGGACTTTAATGTGTAGGCAACATTAGTTGGTAGGTCCTAGGAATAAAAAGCCTAAACAACTCAGGCAGACTCTGGAAGGGCCATTTGTTGAGAGAGACCCTAGGTCTCTCTCTCCCAACAGTGATCAGGGTGGCAAAGAGACTGATGTGTGGGAAGTGTTCAACTCTAGGTCAGAAGGAATGAGGAGGAGTAGTATTAATCATTGGCGGTATCGGGGGAAGTGTGTATCTTCACGTGGTGTATGTGTCTTGGAACCTAACTGAATACTCCCAGGTCATAGCAGTCTGCTGGCTGGAGCCATGAAAGCTGACATGATTGAGTATTATTATATCCTTTTCCTGGAGCTTTTCCAGCCATATAAAACCAGCCAATGACAGAATACCTTGGCCTTGAGAGCCAGCCTATGTGCAAAGGGTTCCCCTACTGGGGAACTAAGATTCCACCATGATTTCTAGTGTTAACAACCATGAAGGTTTTCTCTCAGTATACTGTGGGGAGATCAGGATTTAGAGGTTCAAAGGGGCCCATCGCCGCCTTTATATGATCACTAATAGGCCACGTTCTTTATAAGATGTCAGAGTTGATGGTTGTCGGGTCAAGGTGGCTTTTGGGGGGATGGTAGTTACATAGACCTGATTCGGAGATCATCTCTTTTTTGAAGAAGACAGTAGCTCTTTTGAACTTGACTCATAATCAGGTCTCTGGTTCCCTTTCAGACTTTCTGCTGACCCCTCTGTCACCCACTGCCAGTCAGGGCAGCCCCTCATTCTGTGTTGGGAGTCTGGAAGAAGACCCTCCCTTCCCTTCCTTTGCCCAGGTAAATCCTCTGCTTTGGAAGCAGACCAAGGGTGTTTATCGTGAACTCTGCTGCTTGCTCTTTCCAGAACCTCACCCAGAGGTTGTTGCCTCTCATTCTGGTACAGCTGGAAGAACTGAGTCATCTGATGGGTGTGAGGGAAATTCACTGCCAGTCCAAATTTAAGGCAGCAGAGAGTTGGCTGAGAGCAGATGATGTTCATGGACATCCCCTCTGAGGAGAGACTTGCAGGCTAATGTTACACTGACCTAAGGATCATGGGAGACCTTCTTAAGAGGGTAACGCATGGTGTTAGTCTCAGATATGATGTACCCAGGAGAGAGGCCAAGAGTAGGTGAGGGTGAATCAGAATTTTGCTTATTTAACAAATAATTGGGTATGTCTGTGGTGGGAACTGTCCAAGGGGTTGGGGATAGATATATCCATTTTGACAGGTCTAAGACCTCTGGTTGAGGTGTTATTCATGTGTTATCCATAACAAATGGAAGTAGATTGCCCAATCTTCCTTCCAAGGAGTGGCTGGTGGGTGTGAACCGCCAGCCTCTGGTTAGCAGTCAAATGCCTTAGGCACTACACCACCAGAGCTCCTTCCTATTCACTCTGGGAAGGGAAAGACAGGCTTAGCTATCCTTTAAGTAGC